TAAAAATTCCAAAGAAAGAGCACATGAAAGAGTGCAGGAGCTGTAGGACTGTTGCATTAGATTTCCATGAAAGCAAATTGACACTCAAGGTTGTACAACAAACACTTTTAGCATATATGGACCAAAAATGGCAGATGTTCCAAGTTAGATTTAGAAAATGAAGAGGCACTAGAGTATACCAAATAATTTCAGAAGAAACCTAGCTTGTTAACTATAGCAACAGAAAAACCTTGATATCAGAAGAATTAGACAACTTTAACGTAGAAAATTAAGAAAGTAAAAAATGTTAAAGATTATCTACACCTCAGTTCAATCATCAATCCAAATGGAGACTGCATGGCTTTAGTTTGTATGACCTGAATAGAGCCTGTTAATGACGTGAGCTTTTGGAGTTCATCCATTCATATAACAGCAATGCTGAATAGTTTATTGTATCTGCTTTCTCCTTTGAATAAATGTATTTAAAAATAAAATGTAATTAGCTACTTTAAATTAAAAGTTTCCTATCCCACAAACTATGGGAATGCATACCTTCTATTGCAGAACTGTGTGAAAGAGCACTGTATAGTCAATGCTGTACCAGCTGATTTCATCTGTATTTCCACTTCATCAATTCCAGAATAAAATTGTAACAATGCATATTTCTTTAAATCTGTAAGACATGAAAAAGAACTGGAACTTAATTCAAAGCAAAATTTGTTCAGCAGTTAAGAAGTTCCAAGTCTAAGTTCCAATCTAAAAACAGAAATTCTTTACTACAAACAGCTTCAATTGCTACTATTCTATTTCCAAACATAATTCAAAATGCTGGTTATGACATTTAAAGTCCTATACATGTTGGGTCCAGGCCACTTGAAGGACATACCAAACTGCATGCACCTGCCCAATGTAAAAATATATACATTAATGTTCAACAAACAATTCATTCAAATAATGAAATAGTAGATACTAGTTTCTTCACCATAAACAGTGATTGCTCTGTATACCCAATTACCAACACACGAAACATAATTACTGATGCAGTGTCCACCAAAGTTGGCTCTCCAGGCATACCATTATCTAGACCAATGGTTCCCAAACTTGGGTATGTATGTATGTACAGTAGTACCTTGGTTTGCAAAACAGATTTGACTTCTCTGTTTTTTTAAGTTGTTCCAACGCAAACCAAAGAAATGAACATGTGAATACCACAACATTTGCAACTGCAACAATTTTCTGAGAGAAGGGTTGCATTTTCTGACAGAATTGCAAGGGTGTCAATATTTTTGGCCATGTATGTATGTACAGCAGTACCTCAGTTTATAAAAGCCTCCGTTTACATAATTTTCAATTTATGAACCGAAATCCACAGAAAATAATGTCCTGGTTTATGTTTTTTTCCTTCCTCCCCCATGTACGAAATGGTTTCCTCAGGACGCATTGCACCTGGAGGTTTCTAGTGCTGCCCCCATTTCTAGCACAATCCGCCTATTGGTTTATGAAATATCCCAGATTAATTTCGTAAACTGAGGTCCACCTGTATTTATATGTATGTATGTATGCATGTATATATGTATTCAATCAATCTTATTTACAGTCCCCCTTTCTCCCGATGCCCTTCTTTCTCCCATCCTTATCTATACTTTATCTGAACAGATATTTTAAGATTGTATGTGTAGATACATATTTCTAGTGCCACCTCCGTTCCTAGTGCAATCCGCATATCAGTTTACGAAATTTCCAAATTACATAACATCCTGGATTTAATTTTGTAAACCGAGGTACGCTTGTAGGTAGGTAGGTAAGTTGTGCTGGAGGAGAAGCTTGAGAGTCCCCTGGACTGCAAGGAGTTCAAACCTATCCATTCTGAAGGAACTCAACCCTGAGTGCTCACTGGAAGGGCAGAGCCTGAAGCTGAGGCTCCAGTAGTTTAGCCATCTCATGAGAAGAGAAGACGCTCTGGAAAAGACCCTGATGTTGGGAAAGTGTGAAGGCAAGAGGAGAAGGGGACGACAGAGGACAAGATGGTGGGAGAGTGTCACCGAAGCTACCAACATGAATTTGACCAAATTCCGGGAGGCAGTGGAAGACAGGAGGGCCTGGTGTGTTCCAGTTCATGGGGTCACAAAGAGTTGGCCACGACTTAACAGCTAAACAACAAGTATGTATGTATGTATGCATGTACGTACGTACGTATGTACGTACGTACGTATGTACGTACGCACGCATGTATTCAATCAATCTTATTTACCTTATATGAACAGATCTTTTAAGACTGTCTGTGTAGATACATATTTCTAAAAAAACGAGTGCATAATTCTTATGACACGGTTCAACAGGAGTAGGTTTTCACAAAACTGAGAAAACTGATAAGCAACATATCATTCAGGTTTATTTAAGCGTCATCCATTAAGGCCATCCATTAAGACTTGAAGTTCAGCAAGAAGTATAACTGAAATATCATTTTAAAAGGGTTTACAGCTGCAAAAGAAAACAGCACAACATCTCTATATGAACACATCTCCAGAGAAAATGGTTGTACACTATCTGCTGTATAAGCCACGACTTCATGAATTATTAAGGACTTCCTCCAAAAACCACAGATGCGCTCTCCTTACTCTCCATCACCCTTCCAAGGCAAATATGTGAAAAGTTAGAACATATTCTCTCTGGCATCTATTGAAAGTTGCCTTTCACCTCCATCTGGCCAATGTAATGTAGCCAACTACTTTTTGTTTTCAGCTGTCAGGAAGGCTGCACTATTGTATCTTTTAGGTTAATGATATTTCCGTGCCGCCAGCACTACAAGTACCAGAACTGGTGTTTCTGCCTCTGAAGATGGTGGCGACAGCTACATACTAAAAACCACTGCCGCTACCATCACTACTCATGCCCTGCTGCCATTACTGCCTGAGCCCCAGCCACCTACAACTTACAGGAAGAGGCGGGTTGGAGAACCTGCCCTTGGACTACAGTGGATTAGAACAACACAATAAAAGGTCCTCTAACACGCTGCATGCTAGAGCGTTCCTTCTATTTCAGAGAGCCTGCCTGAACCAGCTCCTGCTGGTTTTGAAGACAGTGGCAGGAAGGCCAATGGTGGGGGGAAAGGCAGCAGCGGCAGGCTGCTCATATGGACTCTTATGCAGCCCACATTACTCGAAGGTCTCTGGGCAGCTTACAACAATTTGAATTCAATAAAAAGATAAAAACAATTAAAATACAATTAAAAATACATGCTCTAAAATTGCCATTTGAATAAAAATCAATGCTTCATCTCACAATCTTAAATGTGGATTTTACATGGCTCACATCTTTCTAGTTAAGTTGAATGTACCAAGTAATGATTTTAATGTACCAAGTAATGATTTTAACTCAGGTTAATAGCAGAAGTAAACATGTGCAGCTTTCTATTAAAACATTTGGTTTCAGCATGATCAGACAACAATATAATCAGCTGTAAAAAAATGAAGTACTGTATTAGAGTTAATACCTCAGAGCTCCATAATAATTATAGTCAGTAGAGGAAGGTCAGAATACTTGTGCTCATTTTAAGTTATTCCTGTCACATGTTTAATGGTTGTGGAAATCAATAATAAATTTGTGCAAAATGAAGAAACCTGAATCTAGGTCAAACATCAGATACCATCAGTTCTTTACAAAATCAGACTTTGCTATATAGACAAGCAGACATTTAACTTCGACATCCAACATAGAAAAAGTCATTTGGAAAACTCATTATTGTTCAGATATTATAAAATATAGTTGTAAAACCCAAATCATAACATGATGTCGGCTGCTTGCCCCTTTTCTCTGAAGTTCTTTGATTTCTATTGAACTCCTCTGAAATACTGAAAACAGAAGCTTGATTCACTACTGACCCAGACATGACACATGCAATATCTATCTTCTGAGAAACATACATGTTCTGTGCTTCAATTTGGCCTTGCATTAAACTTCTTACAGCAACAGTGTGCCCTAATATACCATCCACAAAGAAATTCTGGAACACTACACTGGTGTTACCTAGAAGTGTGGTATTATACAGGAGAGACCAATCTTAATCAAATTCCATGCATTTTCTGAATGCTGCATTTTTAATGTAATCTTTGATCATCTGCAAGAAGAAAATACAGTGGTGCCCCGCATGACGAGAATCCATCCCACTGAAATTGCTGTTTAGCGAAATCATCATCTTGCGAAAACCGTTTCCTCATTGGAATGCATTGAAACCCATTTAATACGTTCCAATGGGAAAAAAAATCGTCGTTTTGCGAAAATCGCCCATAGGGCAGCCATTTTGCGAAGCGCCAATCAGTTGTTAAAATGGCTGTCTTGCGAACCATCAGTCCCGAAAACATAGGGAAGCTATTTTGCGAAGCCGCCGATCAGCTGTACAACTTGTTGTCTTGCAAAAAAAAAACGGTCCGCGAAGCATGGGCCAAATCACTGTCCAGCAAAAATCGCCCATTGGAATCACTGTTTTGCGAATAGCTATAGTGATAGCAAAACTTCATTGTCATGCGGATTCGTCATTTTGCGAGGTCGTAGTCTAGCGAGGTATCACTGTACACTCTTCAACATGGATATTCAGAAGGCTATTTACAGTGACTGTGCCTCAATCCCTGTCACTTAGCCCAGCAAGTCACAACTAGAGTATGTGCATTAAATAAATGGAACTTATGGAGGGGTTGACTCACCAAATTCCCACTGATTAAATGGGTCTACTTTAGCTGCAACTTGCAGTGCTGAGTAAAAGGATTTCGGCCTGCATTTGTCTTTCCAACAACTGAAAGTGACTTCTTTTTTGGCACTAAGCACACACATTTTGAAGGCCCCTTCCACTGGATTTGATGCACAGGTCACATTAATTCAGTGACCATGTACAACATATTAAAGAAAAATAAAGTGACCTCCACTACATTGATACTGGTGAATTTAGGGCAGGGATGATGAACCCAAGATGACACATGGAAAAAAGAGTGAACTAGTGAAAAATAGATTAATGGTTAATGACTGGAAAATTGCAGAAGATGAGGTTCTGAAACTTTGGAATTCCATCCCTAAAACCTTTGACTATGAAAAATCTCACAATGGCAGTGTTAACTGTATTTTAATACTGAGATATTGTTTTCAGTGATATACTTTGTCGAGTCTAATAATGAGAGTAGACTTATTGATGAAACTGGTACTGCTTTACAAAGCTCTCAAAGCAAACAAATACAAGCCTGATTTAAAAAATTGACATTATTAACAAAAGTCAGCAACAAAAGTCTCACTGAGAGTAAAATATGCTAATTTTTCCTTCCTTTAAAAAAGGTTTCATTACACGAATTGCTGCTCAGTGATTTAGGTGTCTGGCTGCAGAGCCAGAGGTTATGAGTTTGATTCCCCGCTGTGTCTCCTGGGAGAAAAGCCAGCCTGTGTAGCTATGGGCAGGCTGCACAATCCCAGGATGCTTCCAGGAGAATAGAATGGTAAAACACTTCTGTGTATTCTCTACTTAGGAAACACTAGAAAGATGTACAGTATAAGAGCCCCATGTATAAGATGCCCTCCCATTTTCTAACTCGAAATTAAGAAATCAGTATTTTAAAACAGAGTGCATTTTTATTTAGTAATTAGGTAACATTTACATACCAGTACTGTCATATTATGCATCACAGTTTAACT